AGAGCATCGAGTACATTGATCTGGAAGGAAAAGTAAAGCCAGTTCGCGTTCACTCAGACCTTCCGCATCCCTTTGGGCTGGTGATTTATCAGAACAAGGTCTATTGGACCGACTGGGACACCAAAAGTATCCACCGGGCCAACAAAGACACCGGGAGCAACTCAGTGGTCGTTCGCTCCGACATCTCCGGGCTGATGGACGTCAGGATGTTCCACAGGAACAGAAGTGTCGTCGCCAATCCTTGTGGCAAGGATAATGGAAAGTGTTCCCATCTTTGTTTGCTGACTCCCAAAAGCGTTTCTTCTTCCAGATATTCTTGCGTGTGTCCTACTGGGTTGGTCCTTGAGGTAAGTCACTACTATTCTATCATCAATTTTCTTTTTTAATTTATAATTATTTCAGCCAAATTCAAACAAAAAGCAGTGCCGAAAAATCCCAAACACTTTTATCATCTTTGCACATCGCGTAGACATAAGGTTCATTTCTTTTGATACCGACTACCGAGTCGATGTGGCGCTGCCCATCAATTTTTTAATCAACGCCACTGGAGTTGACGTTGACAGAAAAACTGGGCAAATTTACTGGACAGATCCTGGAGCTGACGTCATCAGCAGAGCGAGTTTTGATGGGAAACACATCGAGACTGTAATTTCTAACGGAATTGATACTGTTGATAGCTTAGTGGTGGATTCTATCGGACGGAAGGTTAGTTTTTAATTTATATCTCTGATAGTTGATTTATTATAATAAAAACAAACTTAATTTCAGCTCTACTGGACCGACGCGGGCCTAAACAGCATCGAAGTCTCTGACCTAGACGGCAAGAACCGCAAAGTCCTAATCTGGTCCGGCCTAGACAATCCACGTGCCATTACGCTGCATTATAAACTCGGTCTGTTGTTTTGGAGCGACTGGGGGCAGAACGCACGGATCGAACGTTCTAACATGGACGGGCAGGAGCGTATGACTGTGATAGTCGAGGATCTAGTCTGGCCTAACGGACTGACAGTAGATGTCGCCACGGACAAGCTCTACTGGAACGATGCCAAGCGCAAAGTCATCGAATTCTCCGATTTGGACGGCAAGAACCGAAAAGTCCTGGTGAAGAACGTCCAGCATCCTTACGGACTGGCTCTGATGTCTGGATTAGTTTATTGGAGCGACTGGATGACCAAGGCCGTGCACCAGGCGAACAAAACGACTGGAGGAGAGACCAAGATCCTGGTTGACAAACTGGACGGCATAATGGACATCAGGACAGTCACTCCGAAGGACACTGACGAACAGGACCGTTGTCTGACTCACTATTGCACCCATCTGTGCCTCAGGAACCCCAAAGGCGCGAGCTGTGCCTGCCCAACTGGGCTTCTAGGCTCCGGAACCGCAGCCAAGCCTTGTGACAAGTTCCCTCAGGAGTATCTTCTGCTGACTGGGCAGAAAAGTCTGGGCAGAATCAGTCTGGACACTCCAGAAATGCGGGATGTCACTCTTCTCGCAGATGACCGTGTTGTCCAACCAGATGCCCTTGATTTCCACTGGGCAGAACGCGTTGTCTATTTCGCGGACGAGTCCTACAGAAATAAAGGGCAGAAAGTCATCCGAGCTGGCAAGATGGCCGCTGTTAACGAAGGCTACGCGGTCTTGACTGATAAGTCAGAGTCTTACTTCCAGTTCGCGGTTGACTGGATCAGCGGGAACATCTACTTCACCGATCAAAGGCAAAGCAGAATTGAAGTTGTTCACAGAGGCGGCTTCAATCGTATGGTGTTGATCAATGACACTGATGACGCAGAACACTGGTTCGCTAGTATTGCTCTATTCCCGAAGTTGGGGTACTTGTTCTGGTGCAGAATGGGCAAGAGTCCCAGTATTCAGAGGGCGTATTTGGACGGGAGCAACAGGAGGGTTATTGTTGCGGATAATCTAGCGGATCCTAATGGGCTGACTATTGATTTGGAACATAGGAGGCTCTACTGGGCTGATATGAGGAACAATAGGATTGAAATGAGTGATCTCAATGGGAATTATAGGTAAGAGGGATTTCTATAATTAATAATTAAGCAACTTTAATAATTATCAACCTTTCAGAGTCCAACTGATAGCGGGAGCGGACAATCCATACGGGCTGACCCTTCTAGGAGACTACATCTACTGGATTGGCCACTTAGGAACCTCCCCTCACTTGAAAAGAGCCGACAAAGCCACCGGCAGCAACCGAATCAACATCAGAACATCTATCACCGTATTGACAAACATCAGAGCAGTTGCTGCGCAGCTGCAAACTGGCTGGAACCCCTGCGCTGAAGACAACGGTGGCTGCACTCACTACTGCTTCTTCCTTAAGAAGAACTACACTTGCGCATGCCCAGAAGGCAAGAGCGAGACTACTTGTTCTTTAACCCCCAAACGGTGGGTTCCTATTAGAAAATCTGGAACAGAAGATGACCCGGACTACGATCATGATGAAGACGAGCGGCCTGTTGAAGTTCCCAGGAACAATTATCATGACAATGATGACAAGTTCCTGAACAGTAAGAGCGACAAGGACAAGGCTACTACTACATTGACCATCACTTTGGTTATAGTCACCACGATGTCTGTTCTTATTATCGGGGCGATTATCTATTTGGTTTGCCAAAGAAAGCCCAAACAGGAAAAGTATATCTTTGGAAAGCGTAGAAATGTCATGACTTTCTCTAATCCGAATTACAACGCTTCAGCGGCTGATGGTGTTCCAGTTCCTGGAACCGAGAAGAAAGGAATCTGGAAGCGGCTCAAGTACGACAGTTCCCAGGTAATTTTATTTTTTATTTACAATTATAAATACCTCTATATTTGATTCTTTATCTATTCTGCAGAAAATGGTTTGAGATACTTTGCAAGGTTGTAGGAACTTTGCAAGGTTCCAGGAATTTTAAAAGGTTCCAGGAACTGAGTAAGGTTCCTGGAACTTACAATAAGTCCCATACTGACATTTTTGAAAAGTGCCGATTTTTTGGTATATTATTAATAAGAATTTCAGAAAGAGAATTTGATAAAAAATATAGAGGTATTTTATTGTATTAATAATTAAATCCAATATTTGATGAAAGTCAAATGTCAATGTTTTGTCCCCTTTCTAACCTAAACATTGAATTATTGATAACCTTAAAGAAACAAGCCTCGGCGGGTGGAGAGTACCCGGTGAAGTTGCAGCATTTGCCGCTGCACTTCATTCAGATGAACGAGACCGAGACGACGTAGTGGCGGCTGGAGGAGGTTCAGCTTGACGAAACGTCCGCCTGAGCCTCCACCGGTAAAAAACAGTTACAATAAAAAATAATTTGAGACTGACTAGATTGAAAAATTCCCCCGATAAATGAATATTGGACTGTAGGCGCTTTGAGGGATCAATAATTCGATGTCTTGTAGGAGAGAGTTTACGAAGACAACGGCCAGACTTCCAGTCCGGAGGTTACTTCTCTGATACCGCCGTCAGCGACACCTAGCAGCAGCAGAGCGCCCTCTATCACCCCCAGGGAGTCCTCACCTTCTTTAATCCACATAACACACATCGCCGGTTGAGCATCTAGTGCTTTTCAGGGAGCAGGGTTATAATTTTAGCATTTTTTTTTAAGGTTATTATGTTTTTATGTTCAATTCTGCAAGTCCCATACCGATATTTTCAAAAAGTCCCGATCTTTTGGTATACTCAGGTCCAAGGTGACCAATAGAACCGATCTATCAAAAAAAAAAAGTGCCGATTTCTATATCAGATCGGTAGATATTAAAGAAAATCGGTTAAATTATAATCCTGCTGATAAAACAAAAAAATAAAATTTAATATCTCGATTCTCGAGTGTTACTTTGCTGTATTATGATTTTGTTTTTGTAAATATTTTTTGGTAGCGATTTTATACGAGTTATGTAGATATAAGAGCGGGCTGAAGAATTTATGTAAGAAGCACAGGATCTATTTTTTCTATGACTTGATACTAAGAATTGATACTTTATTTGTCCCAGCAGGTCTAGGGCAAACGGTCGAAGGTTAGGGTGTCTGTTGATTATTTTTCGAACACCATAATTAAACACGATACGTAATATATGATCAATCATTAATGATTAATGAACGGAGTAATTAACGCGGATAGGAGTTTTAGCTCAATTTTGTGATAAATTCGTTTATTTCGCGTGCCGTCCGCGACATCTTGGTTCGTTAGAATAATTTTAGTTCCACAAGATGGCGCTGGAGTTCAGTTGGCTCTACTGAGTTCCAGTAAAGTCTTTTTAACCTTAACGGAAATGGCTCACAGTGCCAATTTAATGAGAATTATTAAGACTATGTGTAAATAATATAATTAAATATAAATATATATGTATATGATAAATTTAAATAAGTTTAAATGTGGAAGATTATTATAATATTGTATTGGCTATCTTAATTATTGTATTGTAATATTTGTATAGCCGTTAAAAAGTACTTATTATTATTGTAATTGATTTATTTAGAATATATATAATAAAATTGTTCATTCGTACGTCGCATTGCCTCCTGTGGCGTTTAAATACGAGAAATAATTATAAATATTATTACAAAAATTATGGAATTTTTTATTGATAATTCCCAGGCCTGAAATTAATTTAAAAATTTTTTTTTAAATTAGATAGTAAAATGTTGTAGAGCTTGAAATTCTGCGTAAAATGATATATCATAACCCCTACTTTCTTCAAAGGTAACTAAAAAAAATACTAATTTAAAAAATATGTTCCTGGTACCGATTTTCAGAGTTAATTTCGCAAGTTTCATTCATACCGATATTTTTGAAAAGTGCCGATCTTTTGGTATATTTGGATTCAGGATGGTTCCTAGAGTATATTTATATAAAAAAAAAAAGTGCCGATTTCTATATCAAATCCGTTAACAATCTTAAAAAAAACCGATTTTTGATTAATTTTCATCAATTTATATTTAACAAAAAATACATAATAATTATTAATACATTATTAACACCCAGATGTCGCTACTTGCGATAAAGCTCCGGAAAAATTTCATAAAGCACCACCTCGAGGATGTCCTGGAACAAATTTTCAAAATTACAAAACCCAAAAAACGTTCCACTGAACCATACTCACATAAAACAGCTGTTTGTTCAGATTAACATTCTGGAGAGTATCAAAGACCTTGGTGGCGCCTTTCTGAGCGCTCTGAGCGCCAACAAGACTCGCAAGGACCTCCGGGATATTATTAAGAAACTGTCTCCTGGCTTCCCCGCGGGTCTTGAGCTTCTCTTCATCGGTCCTAGGTGGCGTGCTAGGAGCAAGTTGCCCATTCGGCCACCAGGACTTGGTGAACAGCTGGAGGTAGTAGGTGATCATCGGCTCGGAGAAGACCCAGGCGACAGTGTCCCTGACCTGCCTGTTGATGGTTCTGCCGTAGGTGATCTGGACGAAGGTGATTAGAGACTTCCTGAGCCACCTGAAGACACCCCTGAGGTCGAATATTTCTCCGACGAGGGCGTAGAGCGGCTCTGCGATTGCGTCCTTGCCAGAAAAGTCTGCCTGACCAGGTCGGTCTTCTTCCAAGAGGAGGGAGAAATCGTCATCCTCATCCTTCTGGCTCTCTCCGCTATTAGAACCTTTGAATAAGGTCGCTAAAGAGAACCTTGACTTCTTCGGAGAGGGCGCGACATGCTTCAGGTGCTCAGAACTAGGACTCAGAAAGCTGTACAAAGCCTCGCTTTGGTTTAGTTTATCATCCTCCAGGATGAAATTGACATACCTCTGGATCTGGTTTTTGGCCTTCTCCAGGGCATTTCGGTCCGTCTTTCCGAAAAACTTGAGCGGCTGGCTGGGCAATTCATAAGTTTTTACACTCGAGCAAACCAGCCTAAGTTTCCGATGCAGCTCGTGGAACTCCGGAAGCTTCCGGAAGACGACCCAGCCAGTAGAGATTCCTTCATCGTTTTCCTCCTGGGCCATGTGGACCACAAGAATAAACTGAGGTGGTTCTCCGTTGTCTGGGATTTCTCCACTCTGGACATCACACCTCCACTTCCCCAAATGTTCTGCCCACATCTCAGTATGCGACAAGTGAGCTTCTAACTGCCGCTTTTCACCCTGAAGGAACTCCACTTCTTTAGCTAAGATACTCAAAACCCGGCTTTCGGGTTTCAAGGAAGATTTCAGCGCTTGTAGCGCTTGCATTTTATTGTTAAGTTTCTCCGCCAACTGGTCCAACTTGCTGCGAGCGTAGGTTGAATGCTCGCCTACCAAAGTCTCACTAGCGACTTCGCTAACTCTTTCATCTGACAAATCAGGGCGTTCTGATATCAGTGCCTCTTGCATTTGCTTGTATTGAGGGCTTACTAAGAACGACGAGTAGTACTTGTCTTCAATTATTTTAACAACGTCTTCCTGGACTTGATAAAAAACCTGCGGACCCTTATCACCCATAAGAAAAGCCTCCATGTCCTTGCGAACAGTCTTGTCAACTTTAATCTCAGCTGTAGGACTCCTGATATAGGTATAAAATATCTCAGCTCCTAACTGATGCCAGGCTGATTTATCAGCAGCACGCAGCTCCTGGACAGCTGCCCAGTATCCCAGCAATCCTTGGCTAGAAACACTCTCCAGAAATGCGGTCAGAAACCTTCTGCCAACAATGCTATCTAAAATAGCAGCTAAAGGAATCTGCTCCTCTTCTAGATCTTGCATTGGGTAGCCATCCCATCCAAGACTCTGCATGTGGTGCTCGCAGGTAGTCTTTGCAAAGGTCAGCTGGCTGATGTATCTTTTGAGCTTTCTTCCCTGGATGTCTTTAGCATTTGCGTCTAAATCTAAACCTTGAGCGCGTTTGACGTTCTCGATAGTTGTAGCTTGCATAATTTCGGTGACGATGTTGTACCGAATGTGCTTGAGGACCTCTAAATCCCTCGAGCCCTTGATCATCCTGATAAAGTCTTCGAAGGATTCAGCGTACTCGTAAGTCTTGCGGTGCATCGCTTCTGCTAGCTGCTGCTGCTCAATGTACGCCAGAATCTTCAAGTTGATGTAGTCCGGGTCGGTGATTAAGTTAATCGCCGGCTTCAGGATCTTTTGGGTCAGAATTTCCCGGATCAGAAACTTCGAAGGTGACAGTGAGTAGCTTCTAGGAAGGAAGTGAGTGATGAACAGAGTTGATATTGATCTCAGGTACTCTAATTCTAAGTTTGGAGACATCAGGTGCGAGGATAGAATGAAGATTGGGTCAGAACCCTCGCAGACTGCAGATTGTGCGATTCTGATCTTCTCAAAGTGGAAGGTCACCTTGGAGACCAGGCTAGAGGCGATTAGTCTTGTGTGGTCGATTCTTGATAATCTGGTGTTGAGAGTCTGAAGGCCCAGCCATAAGTCTTGTTTCATTGTTAGGATCAGTTCGTCTGGAAATACTGAGATGTCTGTCATCCAGGATTTTACAAAGTCACGGAATATCAGGTCCAGCAGGTTTTGGAGGGAGCTGTCTACTGATCTCGTGAAGATCACTGGGTACTTGGTTTGACGGATTGCTGCTTTTGGTTCATATCCTTTCTGAAATTAACACAGAAATAAGTGTTAATTTTTTTTTAATATTTTCATCATTTTTAATTCTTTTCAATCAATATTTTTAAACAGGGATAATAATTAATTTATAAGCAATTCTTGCTCATTTTTAGTCTTTTCTTAAAAAAATAAGACTTACTGTCTCATAAAATTTATTAACAAAATTTATTTACAAAAAAAAAAAATTAAAATAAATTATTTATAAATAAATAAATCAATGTCTTAAAATAAAAAAAAAAAAAAAAAAAAATTTTTTTATTAATATATATAAAATTACCATTAACATGGTCCGAAAAGCATCAAGCTCAACAGTAGTTTTAAGTGTATTCATGCCCGTCTGATGTTTCGGCGACAAAGCAATGTGTATCAGAATAATAACAAGTGGCCCGATTACACTGCATGACAGTGTCAACAGCAGATATACAAACAGAGAAAACAAGTTCCTCCAAGCCAATACTACTGCTATCGACACTACGCCCGATGTTGTTATCACCACTTTTTTATTGTAAAAATTCATTTTGCCTTTAATTAATTATTTAACATCTACATTTTTAAAAATTCTTCCTTTTTACAATATTAATATTTCTGACAACTGATAAAATATATAACAGGTTTGTTTATCACACCCATTATTGACATACGCATAAGTCTCTATAATGCGCAGACTCCATTTGCAAATGCGCAGGTGCTCTTTTATTCTATTCGTTTTATTCGTTTTATCCACAGATTCGGTAGAATCTGCCGCCAAGTTCCGTTCAAATCCGCGTTGTAAACGAAGCGCCAGACTACCGACTGTGTTTACTGTAAGCAGAACGGTATTTTGAGATTACAAAATTTTATTTAATTCTACAGTATTTTTTTTTCCTAAATTGTATATTATAACAGTAATTCATACTTTATTTTACTGTTATCAATTAATTATATTCACTTATAACAATTAATCTACTTGAAATTATTAAATTTAATCAGCACAAACTATAGCAACGTAAAAATTTCGATCCTGACTTTTTTTCAATTTTTCAATTTTTCAATGGGCAAAGTGATCTGCCACAGACTAAATAATAATCCTTCATTAGATGGGAAACTACAGTTAAAAAAAGATATTTCACAGCTTGCATCTACACCCGCAAGGGTGCACTCGAATTATTTTGTTGTGAATCCGAAAAGATTGATCACAACGCCCCTGATAGCCATCCAATTGTATAAAAGTTAACGTTAAGTTGCAGTCCAACTTTTATACAATCTAGGGCCGAAATTTGACTTTAACTTTTATCAAAATGTTTTAATTAGTAAAAGTCTTAATGTGAAGTTTTAGTGAAGTTGGACAAAATGAATGAAAACACTCATTGATATGGCAGTTTATCAGAATTTGTCTCTTTTTTACATCGGTAGGTAATTTATCGGTAAAAAAAAAAAAACGAAGCACAGTAAAAATTTTTAACTACTGCCGTGACAAAAAAATTAATATTTTATTGTTAAACCAGGGACTCGAACCCGAATCGCGTGGTTCCTAGCCAAGCTCACTATTAGTCCGAGCTACTTCGACTCATACCATCAACGCGTTTTCAGTCACTTATATCTGACACAATATTTTTATAATGTAAAAAATGTAAAATTGTATTTGCAATTATGAATATAAAGTGAGTGAATTGAATTAATTTAATAGTTTTTTGTTTTTAGCTAGGACATTGAAGTTAGTAATCACTTGACTATTTTGTAATTTTTTTTTAACAAATAAATTAATTCCAAAAAATTATTTATAAAAAATTACATTTTTTATTATTATAAATTTCTACATGTCAATTTTTTTTTCTAATTATTTTTTACCATAATTTACCTGTTAAAAAAAATTCCTAAAATTATCAAATGTCAGCTAAATTAATTTTCATTTTTTGCTTCAAAAATGTATAAAAGTGTTTCAATAATTTATTAATAAAAATAAATATCTGAAATTATGTGATGTTTAATTTTCTTGAATATAAAAATACTCTGAAATCTTTGATAAATTTATTTACAAAGCATTAAAATTTTTTTTTATCGTCCTATTATTTTTCATTAATTTTTTATAAGAATTCTTATGAAAAATAAGAAATCACTTGTGATTGACAATTAACCTGCAAAAAACTTTTTTAAATCATGGTTTGCTAATCAACGTAAAGGTCCGAATAAAAATAACTTAAAGTAACATTAATTTTTCTATGAAATTTACAGTAATTTTTTTTTTTAAATATCATTCTAACTTAACAATAACTTTTTTATAGATAAAAAGTATGAAAATTAAATTAGCCGACATCTGAAAATTTTTATAATTATTTTTATTAAAAAAATTGTTACTATAAAATAAAAAAAAAAA